ACTTCGGAAAATCCCGTAAAAACCCGACGATTATCCTGAACGGTTTCGAATACCAATTCCACTATAAGAAAGTCAACAAGAGTAGATGGCGTTGCAAGCAGTTGTCGAGGTCGCACTGCAAGGCCAGCTTGATCACCAAAGGACGTAACGTGTTTGTCTACAACGCTCATACGCATGATCGAGAAATTCTTGTTGATTACGGAAACCAGAGGCCTACTGCAGTTAGTATAATAGTATGTCACAGATAGGTGCTGTTGAAGAGTCTGTTTGTATATTTTGTTTGTAAAATTATAGTTAAAGTTTATAAAAAATTAAAAATTGTATGTACTGTTTTTATTTTGTGATGTTCGAAGGACCATAAAAATGTTTATCAGAATAATTAAACATTACTACTTCCTGTCAAAAAAGTCTAATATGGGCGACGATGGGTTTATAAGTTTTGTGATATGACCCTGTAGATAAACGATAAATCATATTTATGAGTGTTTTTCTTTTTCCCATAAAAAATCAATGGAAATAGAAATACGCTGGTTTAAAATACAATAACAAATTTTATCTACTTTACAACCAGTAACGTAATACCTTATTTTGTGTAACTAGTGATTATTTGGGATGAGCGGAGCGAGAAAAATGGGGTTTTATTAGTACCTACTTTCGTATGTTATTTTCAAAACGTATGATTAACAAATATAGTAGTTTGTGCAATAAGAGTGGATGGACATGATGACTAAAGTGCTCAATTGTCTGAATACAATAAGTGAGTATATTTTTTCCACGAATTACTAATGCAAATCAAAATTTTATAATGTAATTTAGAGGTTATTAATATAAAATAACTATTCTTTTAAATAATTAACATAAAGATTTGAATTTCTTGATTTTACTAATTTATAAAATAAAATAAACTTCTCTATCTCACATCGCCCATCTGCCGCTAGAAGGCGCATCTAAACCGTTTACACTATTTTTGGCCGTATATATTAGTAACATTGAGCGTTTGGCAACACTGCTTTTTTTGCATTGAAAATGCGCAACTAATCTGTCGTTCAGTAATTAATGATGAATGTCAATGTGATGTTAAATACGGATCTGTAATTGGTATTTTTATTGGTTTTTATGAATGTTACTTCAAATTCAATAAGTTTATTTCCGGAATTTCCATACAAAAGTTAAGTAAAATTAATTTGAATGAATTTTTTTAAAAATTATCAAAATGTTCGTGTAATCAGTGAAATTTTTTTCCTGGAACTACTGCAACAATTCTATTACACACCCTGTATTTAAATGACTAAATAAATTCAGTAAAAAATTACAAAATTAACTGGCAATACCTAAAACTAATAACTAAAGTATTTACGTACCTGCGTCAATTAAAAATTATCAATATAATTGGTTCCGTATGCCCATAATTGGATAAACAATTTGAAAGTTCCTTTAAAAAACATAACCATAGGTTAAAATAGACAAACAAATATTCAAAACATTAAATAAAAGAGATATACCTTGTTTTAAATTTTTAAACGCAAGCAGAAAATTTAGTTCGTTTAACAGAAAATCTTCACTAAGGTAAAAAAGGATGGCTCGGAGCTATGATTAAATTTATGAAAAGAAACTAAAAAATAATATACATTTTATTCCTACAGTTTGAATGTAGGGGAGAGTGCCCAACAGTCGGACATCTTTTTTTTATAATTGATGTAGCATCGAAAAAATAATCTTTCTAAAACGAACACATAGCTGTATGCTTTATTTACATGTTTTCGACTTAATTTTCAATTATACAGAACAGACTAATTTTTCATTTGCATAAATGTTGACAGCTGCATCTGTCTCACTGTTGGTCCACAGTGCCCATCAGTGAGACAGTGGGTATTTTGCACTATACTCAAAGAAAACATTGTACGATTGGAAATTAATAATAGGTAATAATAATAATAATAATAATTAATAATAATAATAATAATTTCTACATGAAATATAACTTTTTAATGCTGTTTGTAAGAAGGCACAATTTGGCATTAATAAAAGAACAAAAAACTAAAGTTCTATCTTATATTTACTAATCTAAAATCACTTTCAAAGGTAAAAGAATCGTTCTGACGACTGTTTTGTCCACAGGGAGTTGGTGGTGTCATAATAAATTTAATATTTGTTATATTAACCACAGTTCCCTTCTGTTGGTTCCTTAAGAATGCGACTTCATATTCTTGATTGGACTTAATTGTTTTAAGAACCTTTCCAATGAAATATATCTTTCTTGTCTCCGGTTTTACGGCAGATTCAACTAGTACAAAATCATTTTCTTTCGAAATTCTGTGTAGATCTTGAAAATCATCTGGGTTGATTCCTTCAAAAAGCTCATCTCCTGATGATGAATCTAATATTGGCTCTTCTTCCGAAATTTCATATTTATCAGAAGATACGTATTTTTCCAATTTTTTAGTCCTTATACAGGGTGAGTCGGGAGGAGCGCACCAAACTCTAGGAGTATATTATACACGTGAAAATAATGTAAAAAAACTCATATAAGGAGAAAGGACTCCACCCTGTGGGCATACCCTGTGGATAAGCACCTGCATGGTTTCACTGAACATATGTGCCTGCAACATGTCTTCTATCCACCAGCAGATGGTGTCTTCTATTCCATGTTTGCGAGCGGCAGCTTCCATTAATTTAAAGGAGGTATTATCAAAAGATCCTTCTATGTCAAGAAATGCTCCTAGGACTATTTCTTGGCTACCGAGTCCCCCCTCTATCTTGGTTACGAGATGATGCAGCGCAGACTCACAAGATTTTCCTGATTGATAGGCATGTTGGTTTGTATGAAATGGCCTCTCTATCAGAGTGGTTTGCCGGACATGCTGATCAATCAGTTTTTCCAATCCTTTCAATAGAAATGACATCAGAGTTATTGGTCCCTCCCACGGCATACGTTGGACGCCCCGGTTTAGCAAAAGACAACTCTGCTTTGTTTTCAGGTATTTGGTACATGTTTATGCACCAAACTTGCCCTGTAGAGCCTACAAATATGCGGAGCCAGCGTGTCTGTTGCCTGTTGCAAAAGCACAGGCAGTACCATCTGGTCCCGGTGATTTGTATGGATTAAAGGTGCCCATGTTACTTTCTCTGTTATGACTACCCGTTTAGCAGTTTCCCACTCTTGGCTAGAGACTCTTATTTGAGAGTTCCACTTCTTGTGGGGTAGTTGGAGTTAAAAATAGAGTGCTTATAGAAAAATTTTGAAGCCTTGCTTTACTATATTTTGGTAGAAAATAGTCTACATCAGTAAACTGATTATTAAAGGCATTACATATATTTTGTACACCAGAAATTTTGTTGCCTTGACCATTTAGTATCTCGATGGCTAATTTTTTACTGATTAGAGGAATTAGTCTGTTATTCAGACAAAAATCAGTGGTTTCTCTGATTATTATTTTCTCCATCACTTTGCAAATGTTGCTCGTTAGACTTACATAATTTTCAGAATAATGTTTGCTTCCTTTCTTAAACAGTGGTGTTACAATTACATGCTTCCAAGTATTTGGTACTACTCCAGTGGCCATTGAATGATTCATTACATCTGTCAAAGACACTTTTTCCTAAAAAAAAGTTGCAGGTATTTCATCACTTCCAGGACTTGAATCAGTTTTCAGACAGAGGATGGCTTCACTAACTCTTTCAGGAGTAATAAAAACCGTTACTAAATATGAAGTTCCCCTAGAGGTTATTAGAACTGCAGGGTTTTTGCCAGGGATTAGCAAACTAAGGGATCAGTGATTAATATTTTATAATCTACGTCTTTTAGGTTAATAGTAGTGTTATTTGAACATAAAGATCTTTTAATATATGCATAAGCATAAGCTGTTTTCGGTTGTTCTCCTAGCTTCACATATTAAAGATTATTTTGTTTTCTGTGTCTTTTTTCTCCAATTTCTTTAAACAATTATTTATTAAGCCATAGTTTTAACGAATTTGTGTTTGCTGCAATTGAGTTTGTTGTGCAATCAGAGAAATGAGTTTTAAGAATTAGTTCTAATGTTTCCATTCCAGTTTTAGTGTATTCCACTGTTTGGGTTTGGTTTGGTATAATTGGAAATGTCTTACTTGTTTATTTGCAGTACAAATAATTTTAATGGTTCAAAAGCTCCAACCTGAAACTGATTATATCTGCAGAAGTGCATTGGGGTCAGTATCAAACAGCTACAGACTGGAAGGTGGGTGATGCTATTAAATATGATTCTTATTTCAATGTTTTATCCAAGAATATGTGTTAGATGAAAGCTAATTGTAGATATGGTAACTAGTCCACCAATATGGTAGTTAGCAACAAATAAAAGCTAGGTGGTAGTTGGTAGTTGATAGTCGATGTCCTGATAACAGGATGAATCCAATATATTGAAGTTTTTATGATGAGATGAGATCAAGGTAGCTTACCGTAAAGAAGAATAAGCCTTCTAAAGATATGTATACAAATCCACTAACGCGTATAATCAGTGTTGATAAATTTTTCGTTATACAATATCTTTGATGGAATTTATTTTTGTTTTAGGCTTTTTAAATCCAAAATAAATTTCGATTATTTTAATGAGTCTACATGGCCCAATATCAGCCCAAAAAAAGAGAGAACCAGGAAGTGAGATGGAAAGCATACTTCCTTGATCTAGATAGGAGATTTTTGTGATAATAACAAACCTAACCGTAATAGACTTTTATGGTAATATTTTTAAGCAGAAGAATACCTAATATTACGGACAACAATGGGAATTATTATGTATAAATCATCCCATTTTTCTAGAAATAAATTCGAAATAAATTTATTGCTATAATTTTTTTATAGAAAATTATTAATTTAAACTAAACCATTACCTACTTTTACGTTTAAAATTTAATTATCACTCCTGAAACTACATAGGTAATTACATAACGTTATCATTAGATAAAGACAAAATTACCGTTTGCAGTTTATTTCTAAATAGTCAAATAACGTAAATATCCTCAAAATGATGGTAATATTCATAATAATTTTGTTATTGCTCGTATATTTTCTATTGAAACAGCGAAAACAGTATAATGAAGTTTGGAAATATATCCATGAAATACCTGGTCCTCCAGCTGTACCGTTAATTGGTACCAACTACAAGCTAATGCCATCTGGTAATATCGTATGTTATTAATAATAAATCTGAATAGTATGACGTTGTTTTTAGAGTTAATATTTGCCAGAGAAAGAGAAAGGATGCGACAGTTTTATCCAATATATAAATCATGGGTTTTGATATTTCCTTTTGTACATCTTGCTGGTCCAGATGATGTAGAGGTAGGACGTTCAAAGTTTATTTCTAGGCCTTTTAGCGTAAATATCGTGTGTAAATCGGTCCCTTTACAAAGACTTCCTGATAATTAACTATAAAATGACTGTTCTGGCTTTCTGAGAAGAAAATTTTGTCAATAATTTCGAATTCAATAGAGATGATGACAATATCTTCTCAAGTAATTTTTAATAATGTTTAATTTACTGAAACTTTTTTTATCTAAAGCCACAGAAACATGTAAGGTGAGTAAAATTATTATTGCTAGAGTTTCTATTGTTTTTATTTAAGTTTTAAATACAACTAATATATTGCTGCTCCCCATACACAGATAAGTATAGATTCAACTAAGCTGTTGTAAACAATTAATATAACTTTTTTGCTTAGTAGATTTCTTAATAAATAAAATATATAAGTTAGTTTTTTTAGACGTTCAGTTATGTACTAAATATGTGTTGACCATTTAAGATACTTGTCGATATAGATACCCAGGTATTTGATTGAATCAGTGTGTTTTATTTCTTCATAAACTCCATTGATTTTAATTGAAGGTAGATTTTTATTGAGTCCTGCAACTGTTGGTGAAAAAGCAATACATTTTGTTTTCAAGATGTTTAAACTTAGACAATTTGCATCCAACCAATTTTTGACATCATTTAGTGCTTGTGAATTTTCCCAAGCCTCATTCCATGTATTGCCTGTACAATTTAAGACCGTATCATCGCAGCATAAGAATTTTTTTTTTTGGCATAAGCATAAGAAATAAGATAACATTCTTTGTAAGAGAGTAAATCGTTTATAAAAATTAAAAATAAAGTAGGTCCAAGGATAGTGCCTTGTGGAACACCTGTTATAACTGTTCTTTTTCACCTAATTCAATGGCAATTACTTTAAAGTTGATAGTTTTTGAAATACATGTCCAAATAAAAGCAAAACTAAATTTAAAATTTTTACCCAACGTAAATAATTTTAAGTTTCCAACCTAACTACTCACACTGTATAACAGGGAAATTAAATGGAAACTTTTTATATACCGAGTGTTTCAAACTATCATGATAATATAGAAGAAATTTATTCATTGGCCAATAGGGGGTCTCACCCCTTAGAAAAATGAAATTACAATTGTTTCAATAAAACAATCTACAATTTTTTATACATACAAACACAAAATTTATTTTACAAAAAAAAATTGTGAACTTTGGACTTTAAAAAACTTATAGTTCAGTTCTGAGGGTTGGCATTTAAAAATTTGTTTACAGATAAAATAAAAATGTTATTTTTTTTATTTACAATACATCTGATTTACAACATTTTTGACTGAATGTATACGCCTAATCACTGTAAATTAAAACGTTTAATTTATCCTATCTATATTTTCTGGTTTTTCGAAAATAAGGTACTATGTTCCTCTTAACGGGCAAAATTTTCCTAAAACTTTTATATAAAAAAATACTAATTATGCAGTTTTCTGGAGACAATAAAAGATAACATGTGACTAGCAATCAATCTTCTATTTTCTTTTATCTTATATAAGACTATTTAGGACTAAATATGTCGGTAATGGTCTCAGGTACAAACCCTGTACCACCTCCTCAAATATTTAATTTGAAAAAAAAAAATACAGTTTTTCTTCGGACCGCCCTGTATAATGAGCATCAAAGTCCTTTTTATTACCACCAGGTCTTCAAGGATCTATTTCAATACCCCTTACCTTGCTGTACTATATCAATGATATTCATAATTTCATTATTCATTCGTTTAAATATCTGTTTGTAAATGATTTTAAAATATTTGACTTTTTTGCTTTCATGTACGATTTTTAATAATCTAATATTTTTTATAGCTAATACTTAACAAATCTATTCATAATACAAAAGGTATATCCCACAGGATTATGTTAGAAGATTGGTTGAAAACTGGATTAGTAATTAGTTCAGGTAAGAGAGAGCTTCTTTCCAGACAGCACAAATAGATCCATTGGAAGTCCATTCGATATACAATTTTGGATATCTGGGCGTCCAAAAATGAGTTTTTTCTGGACTTTCGACATCCAAATGGACGTGCAGTGAAGTATACACATGGCACGCTTTTGACCATTCATAGGACGTCCATTCCTAGATTTTATTCCATTGAGACTACATCCCCACTTCTTTTTACACAACCACAACTCACCACACACTATTATTTATTATTTTTTTTATTAAAAATCGCTTGACCTGAGCAGGGATCGAACTCACGACACGTCCATTATCGTTTTAGACTTTCAAGCGCTAGGCGATCTCGACCAAGGAGCCACTTGGAAAACTCTAACTAGATACGGTAATAATAGAATAAGATTTCAATCTTCTGCTCATAGAATGAAATGTAATAGATTTAATTTGTCAATTTTTAATTAAAAAAGAAGAGGAAGTGTATATAGATGGGTGTTATCTGGTAGGTTAAATAAATAATGACCTAAGATGGACGTCCACTGGACGTCAAAATAATACTAAACTTAAAATTAAGTCCAAAAACAGACGTACACTAGATATCTAAATACGAAATACTGTGTGTGTTGTCTGGGTTATTATAACATAATTTTTAAAGCACAAATGTCAAAATCAGGGCATTGCACATACTTTGATTAAAAATCGAAGTATGTGGGTCATTCACATACTTTGATTTTCTTTTACTACACGGAGAATGGTCGCACTGCGCAGCTTTCTGAGTGCCTTTTAAAAGGAGATATAAAACTCCGCCATTTTGATCCCTTATTACGTGTTGCCTACATCTTGGCGCAATATTTTTAATAAGTGCGTTTTAATCGTCTGCTTCTGCTTCGGAATTGTCGGTTTTCTTGTTTTAATCTGACAGGTTAAAACGACTAAACCGACAATTCCGGAAGCAGAAGCGGATGAATAAAACGCACCTGATATTTTGCTTGCTGCTGTCAGTGTCAATGAATATTATTTTTAGTCACAGTTTATTGCTAAAGAATCAGTTAGCTCACTCGGACCAGTTGAAAGTATCAAAATAACATTCACTCCAGGGATACAAATTCAGGATACGCAGAAGACTGCTGTTTTATTATAGGCGGTTGTCATATATTCTATTATCCGAGATGCGCAGTGTATAAACTGGAACATTGAGATCAAAAGTGCCGACGCAGAGTGAGCGATCTGATTCTTTAGCTATAAACTGTGGCATAGGAATCAAAATGGCCGCGCCCTATCTTGGGCGTGTCGGACCTCTCTCTTGCACCGTATAGTGGGGGCATTGTAAATAGTTTTATTGTCAAGCAGAGAAACTGCTTTAATTTTAATTTTAGATCCCAATATTCATAATGTATACAGGGTGGCCCATCGAAAATGTACCGCAAGGCATTACAGGGTGGAACAGAAATTTTCGGTGAAATCCAAAATCTTGTCAAGTTTGTTTTGACACAAAAATCTTAAAGGGGAAGGGGGTCAAGTGATACCTCATTAAAAGGGTCTTGTTATTTCCTATACAACGCTGCTGAGTTTTTGAAAATCGAGCCACTCGTTTAAAAAATTATGGAGCCTTGAAAGGTAAACTTGACGTGTTTTTGGATTTAGCCGAAAAGTTCTCTGTATAACTATAAATAGATCAAAGCACTAGAATCAACCATCCTATATTATTTATTTTTTCTTTGAAACTAATTTAAGGACCGAAATGGCACAAAAGAAGAAAAATGTTGACGCCTGCGTTCCATTTTAATGTTTTACGAAATTTTGTGGAAGTATTTTACAAAGAATCCGAGGCTCTTGTTGAGAGTTTCAGAAAACATTGTGGAGAACCCTATATCGATGTAGAGAAATACGTTAATCAATATTCTTTATACGCATTTTCAGGTAACGTATTGAAATTGAAATAGATTTAGATACTTGCCTATTTTAAAAATCAATTTGTAGGAACTTCTTTGGGCATGCCTCTACGTGAAAACCCAAAATCTAAAGGGTATCTGAGGACTCTTCAACAATACAAATGGCATTTAAGTTACAGAATCGAACATCCCTGGCTTTTAATACCTTTTATCTTCAAACGAAGCTCAGCTTACAATGGATTTATGAAAACCATAAAAAAGTTACATGAGTTTTCAGAATATATTATAGATGAAAGAACTAAAATGTTTAATTATAATGAACATCATGCAAACACAAAATTGCCTCTTTTAGATCTGATGTTACATATTAAGCAGACTTCTGGAGATATCGATGATGAAGGTATTAAAGAAGAATTGGATACTTTTATAGGAGCGGTTAGTGGTTTTTAAAATGAAAGAATCACATCGGCCGGAGCCCTGAAATCTATTATGAGCCCACTACTAGAAGTGTAACCAAGTGAGACCTTTATAAGCATGCCGGAAAATTTAGGGGAATAGGCAAAAGCTTATTTTCACTTGTTTCCGATATTTTTTAAATTTGTGCTTGATTCTTTAGATATATTATTAGCTTATTATCGCGTGTTTATAAATTATAAATTTTTTAGTAAAATTTTTGTTAGATCCTGTAGGTAGAGCAGTGTTTCCCAAACTTACCTAAAGCGAAACTCCTTTTTTTAAACAAAAGCGTACGCACTTCACCAAACACTTAAAGAGTATCAGCTTAAAGCCTAACGACATCCTAGTCAGCTTTATTCACAAATGTGCCCCTCGAAGAAGTAGTTAGCTACATGGGGGAGTTTTTCCTTGAACAAATTGACGGAGTCGCCGTGGCCAATTTTTACATGGAAAATGCCGCACTGCTGAAAAACAACCAAAACATTGGCTGAGGTATGTAGAAGTCCAGTTCCCCATGGAAATAGAAGACAAATTACTTTTCTAGATGTGTTAACCAGTCGAGAAAACAATAAACTAGGACACAAAATATAGAAAAAGAAGACACACTGATCGATACCTACAATATGGATCCAACCATCATCCAAAACAGAAACGCACGGTTATCAACACCTTGGTAAACAAAGCGTTAAGGATATGTCAACCAAGAGATATCAACGGTGAAACGAAACACCCAAGGGATAATAAAACCAAGTCTAGTGAAGGAACTGTCTATCTACCTTATGTAGAAGGTGTCACTGATCGAATTCGCAAATTGCCAAAGAGAAAATCGTCACCTAATATGAATCACGCTAAAAAAGAGCGCGTAGACACGGATATAAATACCACACTCGAAGCGAAGGAGGATTCAGTTTCAGTTGATACGCTACTGAAGATAGCTGTCGCAGTTGCAGCTGAAACGTTTGGTAGCAATAACCAAGAAAGACCACGCCATAAAAACCCGGAAATGTTATCGAAAAGTAAGATTAAAATTTGGCGCCCAACGTTGGGCAGATTTTCCAAAATTTTCAAACGATGCAAATCTTTCACTGAACTTATTTTGAATTTATAATAACTAATTTTGTTTCTGATTATGCTATGTATTCTTGCAATACCTAAAATAATACTATATTATAAATATAAAGTTGGTTACACTTCGGTAGTGGACTACTTCATAAATGAAACAATTTTTGCATATGTTTTTCTTATTTTTATAGGCTCATGATACAACCGCGATGTCAATATGTTTTACACTGATGTTATTAGCTAACAATCAAACCATACAGGTGAATAATAAGTAATTGTAGTTAGCAAACAAACAATTGAATAATGTGTTTTAGAATGAAATTTACCAAGAAATAGAATCAATTATTGGCGATTCGAAACCTCCTTCATACAACGATTTGGCAGAGTTGAAATATATGGAAAGGTGTATCAAAGAAAGCCTGAGATTGTATCCGACTGTTCCAGTGATGAATAGAATCCTAGGGGAACAAGTAGTGACTAAAAGCGGTTATACCATTCCAAAAGGTTGTAACGTCTTGATAAATATTTACGACATGCATAGAAGTTGTCAACTTTGGGAAAATCCTGAAAAATTCGATCCCGATAGATTTTTACCGGAAAATACTGTCAACAGACATCCGTTTGCTTATTTGCCATTCAGTGCCGGAGGCAGGAATTGTATAGGTAATAGTCGCATACATTTTATCGTATTTATTACAAAAAATTAAAATTAAATGACTTTAAACGACTTTAAATGACTTCAGATTACTTTGAATTACTTTAAATGACTTTAAATGGCTTTAAATGACTTTAATTGACTTTTTCTATGTTCATGCAAAAAACAAAACTATTGAACTATATTTAGTGAAAAAACTGGTTCTTTATTGCATTAGCGTAATAAAAATTTTATTGCACTCATTTGTCAATTTACTACAGCGTTTTATGATCATGAAAAACATAAATATTCAAATCGACGCCAAATATTTAGTCCATTTTCATTTTCTGTGAGATTGTATTACGTTTTAAAAACAATTGCATATTTTATATTATTTTCAATCATTTAATAAATAAATTAATAAAAAATGTATTTTTCTTAACATAGTTATAGTACTTTTTCAATCTTAATCGATGCTAATTATTAGTTATTAAATATTTTGCTATTACATTACGCTTTTTATTCTTTTGCACTTAGTGTCGCTTAAATAAAACATTTTTTGTTTTTGTATTAACGTAGAAAAAATATTGTATACAACTCGTGCAATAAACACTTACTTTTTGCACTTGTTGCATAAATAACTATTAAATGACTTTAAATGACTTTAAATTACTTTAAATGCCTTTAAATGACTTTAAATGCCTTTAAATGACTAAATTACTTTAAATGCCTTTAAATGCCTTTAAATGACTTTAAATGACTTTAAATGCCTTTAAATGACTTTAAATGACTTTAAATGCCTTTAAATGACTTTAAATGACTTTAAATGCCTTTAAATACATTGTTTCGTCCCTAACAAATTAGAATGTATTTCAGGCCAAAAATACGCTATATTAGAGTTGAAAACAGCCCTTTGCGTGATTTTGAGGAATTTCATCTTGGAACCAGTAGACACGCCGCAAAATGTGATGTGTAAGAATCAAGTCACTTTAAGGCCAGCGAATGGCATAAAAGTTAAATTCGTACCTAGAGTTTAAATATAAGTTGTTGTTTTTTAAAAAATAAAACAATTAAAATTTTAATGTGTTTTATTAAAGAATAGAAATTTCTAAATAGAAGTATGAATTTATATTTTTGTGTCATGGAACACAAATAAGACAGACCAGGCCCAAAGAAATGTTTTCAAATCTGGGTAGGTACAAGGCAGTTTTCAGGGCGACTATGGGGACTATGGCCGAAATCATAAAAACTTTGCAAAAAACGTTAAAAATTATTGATTATTACTAGATAAAAACTTAAGGATTCTAATAGTTATCAAATCATAATTTTATCTTTAATAGTAAGAGATAAAAACAAATCTAACACCATGTAGCCATCTGTCAGATGTACCATACATTCACACCGATATTTTTTTGATGCTCGATCAAAACAATCTTGAACTATTCAACTGAGGGACGAGAGAGGGGACAAGGGGGACAAAATCCCCGGTGCTCGGCACAGGAGGGCTAAAATTTACTACAGATATATTTATTTTAATTCAAATTGTATTAGAAATTATTAAGTAACAGTAATAATTGTTATTTATAATATAGAGAAAGATACCTAACAATATTATATCCACGCTAGGAAGAGTTGCCAATCTTGTGCAAGAGAGGGAGAGGGGAAATAGAATGGACGTTAGAACAGATCAGATTAAATATCAGAAGAGAGAGAATGTTTTATCTCAGGTTATTACGACAAAAATAGAACAGATGACGTTAGGGGAAAATCATATTAATTTAAACGAAAAATTTTTTAATCCTAATAAAAAATATGTCGCTTTACGAAAGGGTTTGGAATACAAAAAATCTGGAAATTTCTGAAATTTATCAAAAATAAATATTTAAAATCTAGCATACTTAAAGGTTTAAAAAATTTAATAGACTGCCTACAGAAATTAAAATAAGTGCTTTGTATAAGAACATTATATTATCTGTCTTGCTGTACCTTTATTTATGAAAAGCCTGAACTGAGATACACTACAAATTATTTGCATTATTTATTATTATATTTATATATCAAAAGAAATATACATTTTTAAATAATTTGACATTTAAGAGTCATTCACACATCATAGTTGACATATTGATACTTTACAGGCACAGCCAAGCATTATTCTGATTTTTGCCAAATAAAATGGCCGGTTAATTATTCAATGGGGTTGCGACAGAGAGCCAATAAATTTGTTGAAGGTGTTTTTGTGGCTAGGGGCAAAATAGTAGTACGCTTAAGTTACCACCGCCATAAAAAAGTCATTTTTAAGAAACTGCTTATATATTTTTCATAAGTTGGCAGGCTTGGCGACTAATTTCGAATAAAAATAGCCTCCAAAATGGCTATGGTTGCAAGAATGAAGGTCGCAACCCGACTTAGAAATTTCACCTTTACTATTAACAGCTGTTGTTTGACAGGTCGTTAGAGAATGTTTGCAATTTATGGAATGTTAAGAATGTTAGGAATGTTGACGTTAGAAATAATTGGAATTCTTAAAATGTTCACATGAGAAATGCATAGGCGGAATTTAAGAAAATTGATATTAAAGTAGTTAGGATGAATCGAAAATTCTGAAAATCAATAGGGTTCTAAGTTAGAAGTAATTATTAAAGAAAATCAAAACTGCAAGTCAATCAGAACTTTCTTTCTAGAGCTCTCGTGCCGGCATACATACACACAGACGACCAGACGAATTTTTTTTGCATTTTCGGACTCAAAATGATTGGAAACATGAAAAAAGTTTTAAAAAATGGGTGTAAGAAATTTTTTTCGTTTGCACGAAAGCAATACTAAGGCCCCATAGGAAGGGCCTCAGTAATTTGGTGTCGAATTGAGTTCATTGTAAGTAAGCAGAAGAGTAAATCTCATCTAATTCCAAAAGAGATACAATATGAAACCGTTCATAAGTTGTGGATAAAGCTTTATACACAACTTCTTTTAGAAAGCTCATATGCTTCAGGTGTATTTAAAATATGTTCGGTCCAGCTTTAATTTCTTAAGTCCATCTCTGCCTTATTCGGACCTGCCTTCATTTTTCTGTTACCAAGAATATTCTACGTAATAAGTCCATCTCCAGAGCCCCTTCAAGATACGCCTATGATCAGTCATCGTCAATCGTCATAAACCATTGACTTTTAGTATTTGGTGGATACAATATTCCAGAAAATGATAACGAAATTACAATTTTTAGCTGCTTCATTGGTTAAGAAGTCTAGAGTCTTCGAGAACAAGTCTGGAGTGCCACATTTATATAAAAATAGCCCAACTTAGTTACTATAAGTTAGTTTTAGTCAAGAGATAAATATTGTAAATATAAATTAGTGAATTAGTAAATAAGATAATGTTGAATTTATTATAAATACGAAACGCTGCAAACCTCAAAGATTTATTAATATATGAAACTCATTTAATAATATTTTTAGGTATAATCTACTTCGGAAAATCCCGAAAAAACCCGACCATAATTTTAGACGATTACGAATACCAGTACCACTGTAAAGTGCTCAAGAAGACCAGATGGCGCTGCAAGCACTCATCGAAGTTTCTATGCAAAGCCAGCTTGATGACGTCCGAACGAACCGTTTACGTCAAATATTCTCACAGTCACGTGAGCGAAAAGCTCGATTTGACAGGTCGAGTACCTGCCAACGTAACAGTTATTAGATGTAAAGCCGTGGAGTTCCCCTAGATTGGATTCCAGGATTAAGTGTGATTATAATAATACAGTATTTTCATTGGTGAATTTTGGTTTTTTTTATTGTATACAATAATAATAATAAAATATAGCTAACTAATGTATGTGTTATTTATAGTATATACTGTATAACTGTGATTGTAATTAGTATAATCACCAGTCACTTGAGTAATATGGAAATTAAAAGAGCGTGGTTCTACTTCAGCCATTTATTAATAATTTTCTTCTACAATTCCGTTCAATGTCAACTGTCCGCTCGCAGGCGGTGTTGCCAGAGTAGGCCACTGGCCTTTTACTACTTAACATATACTACCTGTACATTTTATTATATACTACAACTGGTTTTGCTTGGTAAGCTTCTTTATAAAAAGTACGTTCTATTTGTTTAATCCAATGTACAAATTCAACATATCGCCATTTTAACACTAATAGAAATATTAAAATTCCGTTTGCATAGATCTTTTGTCCATATTTTCGAGAAATTTTATTACTCTAGTTGGTTTTGTTTTAAATTTAAAAACACTTTGTTTAATCTTTGGAAAATCATAATCTTACTATTTTGGAACCAATGTAAATAATATAATGTAGTTTTGACAGATCAATTTATTAATTATTCACCTATCCTATCTGCAAATTTTATGGATATAGTGAGCTTCCTTTTAAAATGGTGAGCTATTCTAAATGGTTAGGCTAAAATTTCGTTATTCCAATGTACAAATTCAACACATCGCCATTTTGAAACCAATAGATATATTAAAATCCGGTTTATATAGATCAATTTAGTAATCTGTTGTCTATCTTTTCGGTAAATTATATAACTCTAGTTGGTTTTCTTTTAAAATGGTGAGCTGCTAAAAATGACTTGGCTAGAATTTCGTTAATCCAATGTACAAATTCAACACATCGCCATTTTGACATCAATAGAAATATTAAAATACAATTTTCATACATCAATTCTTTAATATTTTCTTTATTTTCTCGGTAAATTTTATAACTCTAGTTGGCTTTGTTTTAAAGTGACGTATTCTCAAAAATACTTTGTTCAATTTGCGAAAAATCAATGTTCATATTCATGAATTTACTATTATGGAATCAGTGTAAATAACGTTAAATTGTTTTGACAGAACAATTTCTTAATTTTTCACCAATTCTATCTGCAAATTGTATGGCTAAATTTAGCTTCCTTTTAAGCTGTTCAAAATTACTTGCTTAAAATTCCGATAATCCAATGTACACATTCAACATATCGCCATTTTGAAACTAATAGAAATTTTAAAATTCAGTTTTCACAAATCAATTTTTTCATCTTACTTCTATGATATGTGCAAGTTTTATAGCTCCAGTTGGCTCTGTTTTAAAATGACGTCTTGTCAAACAAAGCTACGTACAAATTGCAGAAATTCAATGTACATATTCATTATTTTTAGGCCTAATCTACGTTGGTCGAGCACAAAAATATCCGAAAATAATTCTAAACGACCACGAATACAACCTGCACATTCAAGACAGAGACAAAACCAGGTGGCGCTGTAAGAAGCACAGCAGGCTGCATAAATGTTCAGCCGTTTTATACACAAGCGGCAACACCGTGCTAGTTCACGATCACCATAATCACCCTGTAGATCTGGTGGACTACGATAATTTGATACCGCAAAAGGTTAAAATTGTATATAAAAAGAAACAATAAATGTACATAAATAAAAGAATCTGTCTATTTACTTATTATTTATATTATTTTTATTTGTATCTACTTTTTTATATTAATGAAGTTTTTGAAGGAGAAATAATATTTATTTTTTTTTCTAGGTAAATTTGTCAAAATATATTTCGCCAAAGCTTTAAAATATCCGAAGCTTATAATGGATAATTACGAACATCAAAAACACGTGCAAGAATACAACAGAACCAGATGGCGCTGCAGATGGCACAACAAGTTGCGATGCAAAGCTATTTTGTATACCACAGGGAAGAATATTATAGTGAACACATGGCACAATCATCAAGCTGATAATATTGATTGTTCGAATATGAATTCTAGTGTTTTTAGAGTAGTTTTTAAAAAATAATGATCTGTATTTGATGTATCAAATAAACAAATTAGTTTACATTTGATTTTTACTACTCCCAGTAATCTAACATTGATGAATATAGAAAAATTTACGTTTTTAATAAAAAAAAAAGTAAAATGTACATATTACGGAAAACAAGATGATTATAACATGAAATTTATGGATGGTTGTCGAACACTTTATAGATTTATAATCATTAATATCTTGTTCCTTGTATTATTATCAATGATAAATTAAGTTTTTTATTTTTTTAATATTCAAAAACTTGAAAAAAGACATTTTTATTCCAAATTTAAAACAAATGTTTAATTTTCAATGATAAATTTCTTATATATATCTTATTCAAAAACTGAAAAAGACTATTTTTTAGAAACGATTTACTTCGGCAAATTTCGTACCAAGCCGAAAATCATCATCGACGGTCACGAATACCAGTTCCACAAAAGATCCGAAAAGAAATCCAGATGGCGCTGCAAATACTTCAGGAAGTTTTGCTGCAAATCGAGCATTATAACCATAGGAAAAAGCGTTTTCGTTAAAACTGGACATACTCACCCAGCCGATCCGATAGACTACACAAATTTGGTCGCTTCACAGGCTAAAATTTTTAGACATTGACATGTACATTTTGATAGTTTGTAGAAATAAGTATGATAAATATAGTGGCGTTTAAAACAAAATCTTATTATTCGTTTAATTCATAACCTATTAAATGTATGTGCCTACATTATCCAATGGACACAGGGTTGTTTAACTCCCGCCACCAATCGTGTTAAGCGTCACCGACACCAGATTCAATCAGTAAGAGTAGATAGGATATGTATGCGCAAAATGAGCAAACCCCATGTATGTGCAAAATGTGCAAAACCCATGTATGTGCAAAATGTGCAAACAGATAGATAATTATCAATACGTTTAATTCATATGTCTGTACGGTAATTAATTAACACTTAAGATGGGACTTGTCGAAAAAAATAAATGCATGTGAATAAAATTAAAAAATAATATTCAAACGAAAATTGGAATACCGAAGCAATTACTAAAGAACAAATTCAGATCCCACAAAGGGTTCGCTATTTTAAGAAACGCTGATTGTGTACTTAAACATAAGTACTGTATTTAAAACGAACAAAAAAACTACTCTCCTGAAAAAACTCCAGCTTTGATAACGAAAACTGTAACATGGATATGTTAGGCAGCTATGTTTGGTCCACAATTTATTTTAAATTTTGTCTCATTAATAATACTTTGATTATTTTGTTACCTATTTTGATTTATTGTGTTATAAATTGGGAAATGAATATTATGGCATATTTTTTTTATAGATAAAACTATAAATGTTAAGTTTTTTGCTTAAAAACAAAATCAGTAATATGAACTATCAGAAATAATTAAAATTTTTAACTCACAACTCTAAGAACAAAGTGTATATAAAAAACATAGTAAATTATTAACAGTGGCGTTCAAAATTACGATTCCAAAAAATTTAATAAATTTATATTTAGTATAACATTAAAATAATACTTTTTTGAAATAATAATGCCATTTCATTAGTGTTTTACTTTTATATTTAATACGTTAACCTCTAAGTTTCTATGATATGATATATGACTCAAACATTCATGAATTTCTTTACAAATATGTATCGTGAAGAAATTTAAATTAATATTAACATTCAGTGTTTTTTTAGCCACTATGTACCTAGGCAGAGCTTCAAAGCATCCGAAACTAATACTAAACGGACACGCATACCACATCGCTTTAAGACAAGTCGAAAGATCAAGATGGCGGTGCAAAAAACACAGAAGCAACAGATGTTTGGCGTTCCTGTATACCACCAACGACGGATGCAACAAAATTTTCCTATACAACGATCACAATCATGATCCTGATGAATATCCTTTGCCGTACATGCGTTCGCAACAAGTTGTCATTGTTAAATCGCTCATAAACAGGTTTAAACATAAAGCGTCAATGCCTTTAGGGTAACGTGTTTCTAAATACATGGAATTGTTTTTGAAGAAGATTAACCAGTAATTTAATAATGTTATTTATTAATAAGATTTATATTATTGTTACTTAATTTTATGTGATTTTGTAAATGAGTCACTTTATAGTTCGCAATAATATTCCTTAAATTTGTTTGAACTTTCTTAATTTTTCTGCTATACAAGACAATCAGATATATCTTTAACAATTATATACAATTCGATATCATCACATTAAAACCTTATAGTATCATTTAATTGTTTCACTACATCATTAATATAAATGCTAAATAATAATGGACTCAAATGTAATCCCTGAGGTACTTTGATATCGCTGCATATTCATTAGAAGGACATTTTGAATATTTATAATCAAAATCGAAATATTATATATGATATAATGTGTTCGCATTGAACAGTAGTATATATCTATTATTGGCAGACATTTTTTCAGTTTCCCTTTTCTTGTAGTTTCGAATAGAAAGTCTCTGAAAAAACGTTGTGCATGCCTTAAAGAAGTTAAAAGATACATTGTATATCCTATAACATTCTTAATAAGTAGATTATTAGATACTGGGTGTTATAGAAGTTATAAAAATTGTAGAGATGGTCATTAAAAGCCTAGTTTCTTTTATAGATAAATTTATTATTGTTTCAGAGAATCAATACGGTTTTAGATGTGGTAAATCTGTAGAGCGTGCAATATGAGATTTTACAGCAGTGTATAGAATACGACGGATGAAACGAAAGCCAGTTTATGTATATTTATCGACTTAGCCAAGCCATTTGATACTGTTTGTCATAAAACTTTGTTGAATTAGCTAAATTCTTCTTCTTTAGTGTGTTCAATTGGAGGAGTAGCAAGCAAAGAAACTTGCGAACTATAAAGTGGCCCTAAATATTTAAGGAAACCTTGTCTCTCTATCTAGATACAATAAAGAAATATCTAAAAAAATGTTTGGTTTGTTTTTTCACAAAACGAACATAATCCTGTTTTCAGACAATGTTTTATTTTCGATAAAAATATACATAAGCTTAGCAAGTTTCACAATGTTATTTAAAAAGCATTTCTTATTAATTTTATAACGAACTGGCAACATCGCAACTGTATAGGTTGATTTAACAAATAATCATGGAATTATGTTTGGAAAAAAGGGTAATTAACTCATTTTTAAATTTAATGCTAAAATTGGTGATATTTTGTATAGTTAGTATATAATACACGTTTTAACTTGTTAAACTTACCTTCGTTAATTTTTAGGCATCATATACATCGGAAAAGCGATCAAACACCCGAAAATTATAGTCGATTTCAACGAATTCAACATACAAATCAAAACGAGAGAGAAAACCAGATGGACTTGCAGGAATTACACGAAAAGCAGATGCAAATCCATAATCTACACCTACGGTAAAACTGTCAAAATCATGAACAGCCATAATCACCCGCGGATGGTGGAAAAGATAGACGATACACTGATACCGCAAAAGGTGTACATCATTCGCGATTACGTCAAAAGACTCGAACGGTCAGCAAAGAAGTCTGACGGCGTTGTCCAAATCGTTTCTCTGGAATAAATTAGTTAAAAATGTTAAAAATATTAAAAATCAGGACGTTTTTTCGGCATTATAGAAGTTTTTTTGCGAACATTGCTGTTTTATCAAAACCCATGTGCTACATTTTAATGAATAACGGATACTGTTCCTCTAGCTTTTAAAATATAGGTTCTACTAAAACTACCCTACATTTATTATATAGGTAAGTTTAATACAGAGTGTTCATAAAAAACTGAACATTTATACTAATACAAAATAAAACGAAACATGAAAAATATTCGATTTATTTAGTACCTAAAACCATTACCTACACTTTGTTAATTGGAGAAAATGCAAAATATATTTATGAGCTATAATTTAAAGTTATGCTTCCTCATATTCTGTTTTAGACGAATTGTGATCCGCTGCAAGATAAATTATTAGATAATCTGTTCTGCTGGCAAAAATATAGATTGATCTACTCATAATTTTTAAAATTAGACTAATATGAAGCCGTAACTTTTAAAATAGCGAAGTAATTTCGGGTATAAAAATAATATTCCCTCTCAAGATGTTCGTGTTCGTACCGAGGGATGGGCGATGTTTCCTTCCTTGTCTACCACAATACGTCAGTATCAATCAACGTACCTTCTTTTTATAGTATCATGGATATATTACATCTTTCCTCTTTTTAACTTCAACGATCTTATAAACAGACACGAGGAATACGAATTCTTCTCAGTTAATATCTCAAATTTAGACAAGTTATGAGTTTTTGCTTTTAAAATAACCGAATACTAGAGAAGGTCAAACAAACGCCATAAGTGGCGTGATATTTTATAAACTCTGTACATTAGATAGTTTATATTTTTAGATTTGATGTAAATGTATCAGAAATTATATAAAAAAATTATTTTCGTTTTGGAAAGAGGATGGCGTTTGACTAAATAGTTTAATATTATTTTTTACTTCGTAAACGGGATTATGCATAATAAATATATTTTATGTTTTTAAAACAGAACACGTATTTTATTTAATTTTTAGAATAGTTTAGTAATGCTGAATTCAACCCTAAAATATTTAAAAAATATACAGTGTTTCCAAGCAATAAATTTTTTTTTTAAATTAATTAAATCAAATTATCATAATGTAGGTAGGTTTACATTCATTTCATAATCGTTTAATGTACAGATTCATAAGTTAATAAGCTAACAAATAGTGGTTATAGAACTGGTTTATTTTATACAAAGTGTCTATACATGTCTTAAATAGGGCGAAATTTAATTTCAATTTACTAAATTTTTTCAAATGCAACAAATATTGAACAATTACGCACTAATGGGACACCCTGTATATTTGTTAATAAATTATCATTAAAAAGGTCGTGCATAAAATTTTGTATATATTTAGGGCGTAAACAGAGTTTATGGACCTTACCAAAAACAATAAAAGTTTTTATCAGTTTTTTTCGTCCTTAAATAGCGGTTTTTGTAAATACATTTTACAGCAATGAACATAGAAAAGCTTTTTAAGTTGCCTATAAACGCCGTTTTCGGCAAGACCATGAAAAACGTAGAGAAAATAAAATCATTTTTCTTCCCACTGGGCGTTTGGAACCAAGAAAAGCTCTTTAAACTGGAAAATGCAATTTACGGCAAGATCATGAAAAACATAGAGAAATAAAAGTAAATTCATATTTCTTCCCACTGGGATTTGGAATTAAGCGAAACTCTTATACCTAGAAAATGCCATTTTCGGTAAGACCATGGAAAACAGAGTTTTTTCGTCCTTAAATAGCGGTTTTTGTAGATTCATTTTATAACAATGGGCATAGTAACTACTATGTTATTTTACTTTTTGGAGGTAATTATTTTTGAATAGCTTCTAAAATATACTTAGGTTCCCTTAATGACATTTCCCGGTCATGCCTTGGATCTACCAATTCTGGCAGCATACAGTATAGATAAAGCTTTTTTAATTTCTCCATATTTTTACACCAGAAATATTCTCAGTATTAAACTATTTACTAAACAACCAAATTGTGGTGCATGATTATTTAGGTCCATTAGTTGTTGCATGAAGAACTGAAAATTTGTATTTAATATAAATTGGATGTTATTTATTTCTCATTTTATTTTTTTAATAAATTTTAAATTAGTTAGTTTAAAGTTTAGTTTATTAATTACTCTAAAATTATACCAAAGAGGGTAATTTAAATTTTAATAGGTAGGTATAATGTGTTATTTTTTATTAGGTATTTAAAAAAAATTGTATGTATATACATTTTTAATTTCTGCATACAGAGATAAACAAATGTTTCAGCGGGATGCAAATATTTATTTGTTCATTGTTAATTGTATATATTTGTTTATAAACAAGATTAATACTAATACCTTTAACGTATAAGCTTTTCCTATATAGCATCGCCAATTAATATGTATTATTAATAAAATAATCTTATTTGAATTTAACTTAAACGTTTTTTAGGTGTAATATACATCGGCAAAGGCTACAAACATCCCAAGATCATAGTCGATTTCTACGAATACAAAATGCAGATGAAGAAAAAAGAAAAAACGAGATGGACCTGTTCGAATTACCGGAAGAGCAAATGCAACGGTACTTTGTATACGTACGGCAAAACCGTCAGACTTATTAATCAACATAATCATCCAGCTACTATCATAGATATCAGAGGCATGCATTTGACTCCGCAAGTGGTCAATATAGTTCGGCCCACCGACATACCCAACGATCTCCTTCAAATAAAAAAAGAAATTTTCGATTTGGATTAATCGATTGTCTGTTAGAAAGTTAGTTGTTTAGGTGTATGTTTATTCTCAGAGCAGCTGTAATAGATTTGTTTTGGTCCACGTTCGAGAATTGTTCCAGAACTATTGCGCAGTGGTTTTTAATTCCAAACAGTTCTGTAACAATTTAATTTGTACTCAAAACCAAAACTACCAGAACCACGCCAGAAATAACAAGATCAATGTCTAAGTAAGAAAGAGACCATATAATATTGTAAATCATAGATAAATTAAATAATTTATTCATAAATGGTCTCTATGGTCTATAAGTTTAAATAATACTTTCATCTTCTTTATATAACTTTATTTCAATTTATGTTTTACAACAAATGACAACCAACAATGAATGACAGCATCTGACATAAGTCAATATTCTGTCAACTGTACAGTGATACCACTAAACAAAACTAAATATAACTAACTGGGCTTAAGCTGTATTCACACAATAAAAATAATGAGAGTAAATCGTCATTCGAACATTCCTTGTAAAAATGCCAACAACAAACATGGCAGGGATCCCAAAAATATTACTTGCAAAAAAGCGCAAGCGCAAACAATTCTGAATCGATGTTACTGTTTAAGAATGGTTATAGAACCATTCCCAAGATAAAACCAAAACAAAGAACGTATAGGTTCGGAACTAGTTATAGTGAAA